TATTGGAATTAAAAACTTCTTTATGTATATTATAAATCACGCTAACCCGGTTACACACTATAGAGTTGCCACATCGATTGCAGACTACGAGAGAAACAACTTAAAAGTCACATTTCCCCTCATCGTAAATCTCAACCAACTGTCAAGCGTTCGAGTTGTATGGCACAATTCAGTGAGTGGCTCTTCATAAATCTGGGAAACCTGCACAGGGCGTATAAATTGCCCAACCTGAACGAAGGTCTAACCATTATCAGGCACAACAGCCGCGTCGTGTTCCCGATAATTGCCTTCAATTTTGGTGTACAACTAAAATTACAAAATCCAGCATTTTTGTTCAAGAATAAACTAAATTTCTATGTACATAAAAATCAGATTAAACAACTCGATACAATGTAGAAAGCTAAAGCCGCTGCCAGATAACTGAATCGAGTGCAGAGAGTCCCACAAATTGAATCTAATCGTGCGGCTATCTACGTGTAATTACAATTAACTCGTGTGTGTGTGGCCGGAAAACTGAGCTAAGGAGAAAGGCAGAGAGGGAAGAACTAACGAGCAAAAAGATAATGAAATATATATATATATATAACGATTGTGTGGGTCCAAGATAAGCCCGCTAACGGCAGGTTCATGTGCGCCAGCAGGTGGGGAGTGGAAATCGTAACGGGGTAGATTGGGCAGCTCTTGTGGTAGCCCCCCCAACAGTTTCCATTTTGGTAATCAATCATTGTCAATGCCGCCTGCCGCTGCTGTCAATGCGGTTAGGTGTGGGTGGCGGGGGCTGGGCGTTCTGCGGAGGGAGACGGACGGGCTGACAGCAACTTAAATTGCTTGCAAGTATGTTGAACTAAGGGAAGAAAGTGGTTTTGGCCAGACTTAGAGATTCGCCCGACTGTGGGATAACAAAGGAAGTCGACGCCGGGCGAATGGGAAAACCCAGTGAAAATGGAAAACGAGGGCAATGCAGGGCAACTAATAAAAATCAAAATGAAATCAAATTAAATAAGCAACAAAAAGTGTGCTAAAATAGAAAAATAAAAGCAGAAGAGTAGCGCATAGAATAATGACAAGAAACAACAATAAAGCAGAGCAATTACAGTAGCAAGAAGGGCGAACGATAAAGGAAGGCGAAGCTAAATTAAAGCAGGACTCTGATAAATTTCTAAAGTAGACACAATGAAAATTACAACAACAACAACAACAACAACAACGAAGACGACAACAACAGACGAGACGAGAAGCGACATAAAATGCGTACAGCCGAGAAAGAGGAAAAGTCAAAGGAAAGCCATGGAAAAAAGCAGCGGAAGGAAATGCCATTATGACGTAAATGTGCTAAAATAAAACAACATGGCGGACAACGACAACAACAACAAGGACGACGACGGCGAACCGTGTCGAAAGCGAGCAGCTCCCCGTAGAGCTCAGAGAGCGTAGATGTGAGTGTGTGTGTGAGCTGTGTGTGTGTGTGTGTGTGTGCGTTTGGGGCTAATGTCAAAGTCAATCTTGGGAAAAACGCGTAGCGCATAAACATACAACAAAATAAAGTACAAGGCAAAGGCAAAGCCAAAGGCAAAGGCAAGGGCGAAGCGACGGTAAAACCAACCCCCAAAAATCATTTTTGGGGACTCGAACCCAAAAGCGACAACTCGATTTTTCTTTTGGCAGCAAGAAAAATTACCGAAATTAAAGCAAAAGAAAAACAATTTTCTTCAGTTCTTGTCTGCTTTTTTTTTCTCGCCCATTTCCCTAACATTCTCACATGTGCACAAGGGTTAAGACTCGACTTTGAGAGCAACAAGAAAAATTGTTTAAAATTGCAAACTGTAGTGACAAAATGAGCACCAGATGAAAATGTTAAACACCTTTTCGTATTGTTTTTATTTCCACATTTTCTTTTTTTTTGTCAAACGCTTTAGATTTGTCTAGTTGAAGAGCCAGAACGATTCGCAGAAATGAATGAACCCCCATGTTTTGGGCAAAAGAGACGAAGTTTCGATGATCTTGCGGGCGAATTTACAGCATAAATATATGAAAAATATAAAAAGGGAAATTATAAACAAAAAATTAAATACATAATAATAACTTATCCGTATAATAATAACTTCTTTAAGTAATCAACTAATTTTACTGCATTCTTTTATTATGTGTTGGCAAGTTTTCAGTTTGAATTCAGTTCAGTTTTTACCATGAACCCTATCTTCAAACAACTTGTTAAGCAACCTGATTCAAAACAGAAAATAAACTATTTTTCAACATACAAACAGTCTAGAACCAAAACATAAATGTTTTGAGCCCTAACCATTGCAGACAATTTTGATTAGAGCTCAAATGTAGCCCGCAATTTCTATATGAAAATATGTACAGTTCACAATATTCTCAGTAGAACGGGCAGCTATAAATTTGAAAATATAATTGCAATTACATACAATACATTTTGAAAATGTAATTGCAGATATTAATATTTTGAAAATATATGAAAAACTTTCAGACTTTGGCTTCGGTTGAAAGATGTGGGAGGATCAGATTTACGAAGTTGATTCGATTTGTAAGCAGAATCATCGGCAGTTCTTTTCAAGTTTTCAACATTAAAAGCAAATCATGAATTTGATAGTCAATTCGTAAATATCTCAAGCGCGCCCAACTTAGTGTTTTACAAAAAAAGTAGGTCTGGTAACGCCGAATATCTATGTTAAGCAACACTACTCAGCTCTCAATACCTGATATAATGCAAATTAAATTTATGTATTAACTAACACTGGTAATGCTGCCTGATTATTATTTATTTTGATGTTATATACAAAATTGTTAATCTGTTAATTTTTCCAAACAAATATTACATAAATTTCTGGGATTGTACGCCAAATATTAATATTTCTGCCAAAATAAACTGAATGCGTCCTGCCTATAGATATTATATAGAAAAGTCCAGCGCGTATTATACCAAAACTATTATGCAATTCATAACCAACTCGATGGGAAAGTTGGCATATAAACGAATAACGATTATTGCGATAACTGCGAATACTGGAGCAATGCCTGCAACGTCTAGAATTAAACTCGCAGCGCGCTCTTCTTGTGCCGCCCGCAGGATTTTCCCGTTTTCCGTTGCCAGCGACGCGTCGTCGGCGCTGCAGTCGACACTTTGGGGGTGGTTAGATAAAGTGTGGAAATTGTTGAAAACGTTGCGAGACTGCCAGCCGGCCTGCCCGCCCGCCTGCCCGGCTGCCTGGCAGAGCCTGCATCGTTATGTGCCCGGGTCGACGGACTTGGGCTTTTGGGGGTGGTTGGAAGGTGCGCGACGCCGTCAATGGCGTCTCTTGCTCCATGTGCTGTGACCATGTCCTTGCCTGTCGCTGCTGGCAGGCATTTTCAAAATTTTCTTTCCTCTCTCTTCCTCTCTCTTTCACTTTTCTCTTTTGCTTTTTTGGGGGAAAACTGAGCAAAAATAATAGCAGCAGCAACAACAACAATAACATCAAAAGTGGCAGCAACAATTTTGCCACTCATAAAAAAGGAAATTTGAACTTGGCCTGATGTATGTACCATGTCCGGGCCGCGACGGTGCCCAAAACTGCCAATGTGGACGACCACTGCGGCAAGTGCCCAACTGGCGAAATGAAAATGCCAGACGGTAGCTCTGTTGGCCACCGGGTGGTGCAGTGCCCAACCATATAGCCACTGCAATAACAACAACAACAACAACAAGAACAGGAAGAGCAACGATTTTCACTCGAGAGTCGGTGAAAGTTGCCCTTGAATGGTGTTTTGGATTATTTTTACCCAATCCCCCGTCTCTCTCAGCTCTATTTTCTCTCTTTGTGTTATCCAATTGAGTTTCGGGTTCAGTGTTTGCAACCAAATTCAAGTCGATAAACAAGAAAGAACGTTGCACAAACAAACAGGCATCGAAAAATTTCTACAAATTTAAGTTTAGTTGCGATATTAGACCAGGGATTATTAAATGGCTAGTTTTCTTCAAATGTAGACTATTTTATAGCTCATGACAGCACTTGATGTCAATCAAGGAAAAAGTTTTATAAAATCAGAGAAATTATTTGTTTCAGTATATACATTTTTATTATTTCGTTAAATTAGTAGAATTTTTAACGAAACATTATGAATTTTTGCGGCACGCCGAAGATTTAATACCCTTGTAGACATTTGCCTTACGGGTTTGCAATTGAAGATCGAAAATGATGAGTTTCATAAAAATATCTTGAAAATATATATAAAATAGATATAATATAGATTTAGATTTTAGATTTTGCATATATGTAGAGAGTAAAGTGAACATTATAAATGCAAAATTTGGTCTAGATACTAATAGATATTGAATAACAAAAAAGTTGCTCATACAATTCCATTCTTTTCGACCGATCTTTCCCTTGGAAGCTATATAATATGGAAGCTATATAGTATGTAGATGAGGAGCATACTGAAACTAATATAGCCGACTTTGGTCTAGATTTCTTGAAGGAAAAACAAGTTTTCCATACAAAGACCTACTTTTCGACCATTCGCTCCTAAGGCAACTATTTGATATAGTAGTCCGATCCGGCTGATTCTGATAAATCTACTACCTTCAACGGAAAGAAAGACAGACCTATGCAAAGTTTCAAAACAATATCAGAGATTAGTCCGAAGAGAAACAGACAGACGAACAGTCGGATATAGTTATATTCAGTCGGCTCTTGATGCTGGTTTAGAATATATATGTAAATATCCCCCTACAATAATAAATTAAATTGTTCCCAATAGAAAACAATATCACAAAAAGCATGTTAAATGCAATTTAACTAAACAAAAACATCTCAATGTTTATATACTTGCACTATCTAATATACCTAAACCATCATAAATATCTCCAGTGTGATCAGATATTTGGAATCGAAAGTAAATATTCGATTAAAAAAACTACTGACTATGCCAACTAGTTAACCATATCTAAATTCTTTTTATAAAATGTTATATTAATATGCATGAGTATTCAAATAACTTACCAGTTTAATGTTTTAAATAGTTGTCGGCTTTTGGAATTTTTCCTCAAGAAATCCGCATATATATATATATTTATATATTCAATAGGTTTGTAAAATTGTTATTGCACTTTTGTTTTGGTAAGAAATTTACGTGTAGGTCGTATACTTTTTGCATTAGCGCGGCACGGAACGGAACGGTTGCATTTGCTTGTTATTATTATTAATTACGAGTTAAACATCGAGTTGTTTGATTAGATTTCGATTTTATGGTTTCAGCGGGTTCTTTCTTAATCCATTGTTACTTTGTGGGATCCCTGTAAAAATATTGATTAGTAATTGGCGGAGCTATTAAATCGAGACAGGGAGAAAAGGGTCTACGATAAATGAGATACGCACGTGGCAACACACACACACACACACGCATACATTGACAAATAAACGGCGACCAAGAACAAACAATAAACAGAGAACCCAGAATGGAAGCCAGGTGCGAGCTTGGTGGCCAAAGAGAGCCAAACAGCAAACAGCAACTGGCAACTGGCAACTGGCAACTGGCAACTGGCAACTGGCCGCCCGCCCGGCAGGCTAAACAACTAAATCAAATCGCAGCCAAGTGGCGGGCCCAGAACCAGCTGGCCTGACTGTGCCCCCCCGTCCCACTTGTCCCCCTCGCTCTTTACGGTGAACAATTTCAGGCGCTGCCCGGTTGGCTGCCTCTCAATGGGCTCTGGGGCAAATATTTTAAATGCGCAGATTTTTGGCATGTTTTAGTGGCAGTTCACGTTTTGAATTGTTGCCATCGCGTCAGTCCGGGAACCGGGAGCCGGGAGCCGGCAACTGGGAACTGGGCACTGGATAGGCAGGCACAGGGCGCAGAGCAACTCGTTTCACTGACAATTTAATACAAAAAATGCCAAATATTTCAAAGGCGCACAGTAAATGCCAGCGAAATGTAGCAGCAACAAACATTTACAAAAATAAAATAAAATAAAATATACTTTGTCATGCTCTTTGCAAAGTGTTTGTCAAAAAGGAAGCAAAATATATAAGCAGAAAAACACATGATAAAACTAGCTGCAAACAAACTGTGTGAGATATGCTACAGATGTAAACATTTCTGATAACAGGCCTACTAAATGGGTAACAAAATTGGTAATAATATGAAAATACACTAAATACATATGTATAATAAAGGGAAATAACAATTTATTCAATTTTAAAAACAAGAAATCAAACAATAAACAAATTCAAAGGCAATCAAAAAGTTGATGAATATTTGGGTATTTAAATGATAAGTCGAAAGGCATTTTAAAAACTTAAAAGAAAGAAACGTAAGAAGAAGAAGAAATTATAAGGTTAAAGACGTCACTTTGAAATCTTAAAAGGAAAAGTAAAGTATCTCAAAGATGAATTATGAGGTTAAATACGTCAATTTAAAATCTTACAAAAATGGAATAGAATAAAATATGAGATTGTCTAACAAAAAAGTAAACTAACTATATAACAAAAACTAAGAAATGTTGAAACAAAATAAATTACTCAAGTATATTACGCAAAACTCCTGACTAGATGTAAGGACAAAAAAAATAAGTAAAGTTTTAACTTATTTTAAACGCAATGTAACACATGCATATGTATGCATGCATAGAAAATGTCGATGCGTTTAAAATGTTTGCAGTTTAAAGTCCCAGCCCCGTTAGAGAAGGAAGCAAGGATTCGGTTCGTGCGTGTTGCTGTTTTTGCCTTGCCAGACTAACTCAATTAAAGCAGCAGACAGAAGTTGAGTGCACCGAGTGTTTGGTCTGCTGATGGGTTGCCAGCATGCGAGAGAGAGAGAGAGAGAGAGAGAACGAGCGAGACTGCACAGTAATACTAGGTGGCAGCCCTTTGGGCTAACCAGCTCAGTCTGGCGACTCTTAGTTCATAGAATAATATGTACATACATATTATATATGCATATATGTGTGTATATTTGAAATTAAAATATTTGCCGGCAACTTTAAAATTCGTTTTGTGTGCTGTTAAAGCGAGCGCCAAATGGCAGCGTATATAAAAGCTAAACAAAGCGTGTCTACAAAAAGTATCTAGATACTTTTTGCAGTCGTGCTAGCAGCTACAACAACAAGGCATGTCTGGCATGCCTCTTGTGGTTGTTGTCGTAAACTCGTCTCGTAAATTCACCAAAACGACAAAAAAAAAACCAAACAACAACAACTCTATTCGCAGCCTGAGCTGGCGGCAGAGACGTTGACGTTGGCGTTCGCTCTCTTTGCTTTGTTTGTGTTTGGTGTTGTCGTTGCGAGTTTTGTGCAACTGTTTTTTGTTGTTGCGTTTTGTGCTTTTTTTCGCATTTTCTTTCAATGATTTTTCCTTCACTTTCATCAAACAGCTGCGCTCACAAGCGAACAAACTTTTTGCAGGCACACACGCACAAACACACACATACACACACACGCCGACACACACACAATCAACTCATGCTAGCAAGCTTTGTCGTTTACCGTTGTTTGGTTGTTTTGTTTTGTATTGATTTCTTTTTGCGTTGCGCGTTCGCCGCCGTTCGGATTGCAAATGCCGCCAAAATTGCAATCAAATGCAGTTTTTATCAGTTTGACTCTCACTCTCTCTCTCTCCCTTTCACTGTCTCTTACTCTCGCCGCACTTGCTTCGAGGAAACTGTTAACTCCCACACGCGACACTGCCGTCGACTGCGCTGCTGCTGCTGCTGCTGTCGGCTGCCCGCTGTCTGTTAATTAAACGCGCGACTTTTTGTTATTGTTATTAACACGATGTACGCTTTGTTATCAGCATTCGCCGCCGCCGCTGCTGCTGCTGCTGCTGCCGCGTTTCGCATTCGCGCATTCTTAAACTAACACACACTGCAGCCCCCGCCGACCTGCTGCTGTCAAACGCGCTGCTCTGCTCTGTTGTTAGCGCTTGCTGCTGTTTGCCGCTAATCGCTTTGAGTTTTGCCGCGTTGCGTAGTTTTTCCGGTGATTTCCACTTGCTAACTGACATTTCTAGCGACTTTTCCAACCGGACCGTTGTCTTCGTTTGTTGTGCACACCGAGAGCGTCGGCAAAAGCGCGACAAAAAGAGAGCGAGAGTGAGAGTCAACAGCTGTCTACTGCGCCGGTCACAATTGACACGATTGCGAATTGCCGCTGCCAGTGCTGCCAACTTGTTCCACTTTTTGAGCGTTAAGTTTGAATTTGCAAAAGCAGTTGCGCAAGTTCTAAAGAAATGTGCCAAAGAAAAGTCAATTTAAATCAAGTAAAAAGTTATTAACTCAATACTTTAACCTCATTTAGAGCACGGGTCGACACTTAAGCTGCTCTTTGAGCATTTTTTCAGGAATTGGGAACATTGAAAATGGAACAGTCCGTGCGCATGTCCTTTTTTTTTGCTCTTGCCCGTGCTCAGCATAAGCTACACAGACCAAGTACACAAAAACAAAGCGTCACCAGCCCCTTAGGGCTAAGGGGTGGGCTAAATGGCAGCTATGTAAGCATGTTGTAAATGGCAGTGCCCAAGACCTGCCGGCCGGCTCACTTGTGGTCAGCCAGTTGGCTACCTAAGGGGTCGATTGTTTTTGTTGTCGACAATTGCCACTGACATTCGTGAGGATGTCGAACAGGACAGTGGACCCATAACCGAAAATGATGGAGGGCTATACCAAAGGCAATACATTTGAACAGTTCATTCCTTGGTTAAACTAAAGTTCTCCTGGTTCCTTGTCTCTTAAATTTGAATATTTTTTTTATTTAAATAGATCAATATATTTATATAGACAGATATTTCTATAACCTATCGACTCCTCTCATCTCCTCTGTCTTTTCAGTCAGAAGGCTTTAAATTAAAAAAAAAAAACTATATATATATCTATATAGACAGATCCTTCGTCTTATTCTTATTCCTCTCCACCTGGCCTGTCTGTGCCGTCAGAATATCCTAAATAAAAACTATATTTTCCTTCACTTCGCTCTTTAGTCATATTTTGGTATTATTTCCCCCTTCTTCCCCGGCTAATGGCACCATAAATCGTCATTGGCCAAATATTTTTCCAACAATTAATTTCATTCATGCATTTGTCGAAATTGTGGAACACCTGGAGCGCACCACAATTTGTTTGCATTGCAATTAGAACTGTTTTTCTTTTTATTCTCAGTTGGAAAATATGTGAAACTATGCACGGCCAAAAGCCGAAAGTGCCGAGCTTGTGCCGATATCGCCTTGGATGCCTAAGGAATTCCAGTTTACCACACGCTATTTTATGGCCAAAAACTTGTTTGTTTACCGACCAATTGCGACTATGCGCCAAAAATGATGGCGTGCGTGTTGGCCAATTAGTTAAAATGCCAGCCAGAAACTGCAGCAGGGGGCGGAAGGGCATGGCTTCTGCCTGGATATGAAACTCAACGGGGGCGGCACTCAATTTGCCATTTTTATGAGGCGCTTGAAGTCAAATTAAAAGCAGTCCGAGTTAATTTTTTTGTTGTTTCTCTTGTTGTTTTTTTTTTTTTGGCGTAAACTAAACACAATTAAGTGTCAGAGGGAATTGAGTTATCCGCACGAATTCGTGGATGGTCGCGGGAAATGGAATGGAAATTGGGTCCAGAAACAGCATGAAGTGCACTCAATCAGTCGTCCGATCCGGCACTGAGTCGACTGTTTATTTAGCATTTTTACACACGCCACAAATCTGTCCACGAAGCGCAGATGCCCCTAAGACACCCTGCACCCGCTTGCCAGCAGCTCATTTGTTTTTATGTGCATTAACTGAGGGCCTCTTAAGTGAATATTTGTTAATCGTAATGATTTGTGCAAATGCTATTTGACATTGGTTTCTGTGCAAGAGGGAAGGGCCGGGGATTTCTGTGGGTCTGCTGTGGGCGTAGGCTCTTGACTTTTTGGAATCATGAACATTTGTCGCTTGGCAAGGAAACGCTTCATTGTCGCCACATCCAGTCGAAGTGAATGATGATGTGCTGCCCCAGCCCATGGCCCAATTCAATTGGACAGCTGTCAAGCTGGCAAGTGAGCCATCAGGCGGCGCTTTAATTAAAGCCTTGCCTCCACAAAATGTTGTGTTATTTAATTAAAATTACAAAAATTATAAACAATAAACAATAAGTACTGTGGCCGAGCCTGTCAGCTGAATGCACTATTTACATTTCAGCCAGAGCAGCGAATGCAGCGGAATTGTGACTATTATGACAATTGCATGGCTTTTATTTTAATGTAGAGTATAAACTGGATGCATTAACTTGCTCAGCGAATTTGTAACATTTTTTTTACATTGACTTCATGAAACGCTTGAGAAGGTTCAGATATTTGCTTTAGATGAGAACTTAAATTAAATTTATTATAGGCAGAAACTGGAAGAGCACAAAATCCCAGTTAGAATACATAATAAACAAGTACGAGGTTCTAGTCGGGAGCTCCCGACTAGGGGATACTCTGAACCCTCTTCTTCCAACATCAAATGCATATATATATATTCTATTTTAGAAGCTATATATCAAGTTTGGTGACTCTAGCTCTTATTATTTACCAAAATTGCCCAAAAAACAGGATATCGAAATCGATTTTTATCGATTGATTGGAAACGGAGTAAGGTATCGACTATCGGAAACAAACTCGATCTGCGCAGGCACCTACATCTAAAATTTCAGTCTCTAGCTCTTATAAGTTCTGAGATCCTTGCGTTCATACATACGGACGGGCGGACAGACAGACGGACATGGCTAGATCGACTCGGCTATTGGTGCTGGGGTCGAAGATGCTGTTACATACATTTGGATTTTGCACAAATACAATATACCCTTATACCCATTTTTAATGGGTTCAAACATTTTATATTATAAAAACATTTTATATTAAGACTTTTAGGAATACCCATAAAACTTACTCGCTCAAAAAACAATTGCATACAAAAGTATTATTTCTCGTTCATATCTAAGCTCAGATCTTTATACAACCCGTATATATTTTACAGGGTATACCAAGTCCAGCTATAACATCCCATTTTGGCATCTTCTTTTTGTTCTGTTTCTCCATAGATCACATATATTTGCTTTATTTTACAGAGCATGCCGCTTTCGGCTTAAATGAGTCTGTAAAAAATATATTTTGCATTTTTTTTTGTTCAGTCGCGACTTTTAACAATTTCCACTGATTAATTAATAACAATAAAAAATGGCACGCATAAAAACGTTAATGATTAAATACAGCGGCGACCAGGGCAACACACACACACACACACACGCGCGCCAGCAATTGTTGTTGTTGCATTTGATTTATAGTGGGAAATGCGAATAAAAGAGCGTAGCATACTTTTGGGCTGGACATAAAAAAAAGAACTGCACTAGCAATAAATCAGCGAATGGCCAAATGTGGGCGGCCCAGTGGATGTGGGCGCGGCCGGGCTTGCATTGATGTTGCAGCTGTTGTTGTTGTTGTTGTTGTTGTTGTTGTTGTTGCTGTTGCCATGGACGCAGCTTTTAAACAATTTGATTTTATTGCATGGCAAAATTCAATGAAGCGGCCAACGACAAAATGACAAAACGACGAAGCGGAAATGGCAATGGCTGACAGCAGGCGCTGAAATTTGCATACGGTAACATACGCCACACACACACACACACACAGAGAGACACACACACACACACACAGAGAGAGACACACACACACACACACAGAGAGACACACACACACACACACACACAGAGACAACATGTTAATGCAAATAAATTGCCTGCTGACTTTATTTAAATTTCCCATAAGACACACATGGTTAGGTGCGGGTAGAAACATCGGGCCGCTGCTCGGGCAGAAAACTTCTGCAGCTTCTCTAAGCACGAGGCGACGAGGCGGCAAAGTGTTGGAGGATTGGGGACCAGCGCAAGAGGAGCCACAAGGAGCTGGAACATGTGTTGCCTGTGGGCAACGCTGGCGGTTGCTTTTTGTAATTTTAATTTTGATTTTAATTTGTGTTGAAATATTTACATAATCACTGACTGACAACAGGCTGCAGCAGCGGCAGCGGCAGCGGCAGGACTCAAGCTTCAGTTCGTTTCAGGAGCCGCTGCTAAGCAGCTGCCGCCTCGCCAAAATTTATTAAACTTTAATGAAAATGTATAAGGCACGCCTGCATAAATGATTTAATAAGCACACACGCATCGCATGTGTGCGCGTGTGTGTATGTATTGTTGTTGCTGTTGTTGTTGTTGCGCATCTCATTAATGAGACATTAGCATTAGGCATTTGAATTGAACTAAGCAGCCAACGGCAAAGCCGCTGTCAACACGAGAATCTGCGAAACATTTATTATTGCGCAAAATCACAACACGAAACTGTTGAATAACAGGTGAAAAGAGGTTTACCCATAATAATAATGATAATGATAATAATAATGATAATGATAATGATAATGATAATGATAATAATAAAAATAATAATAATAATAATAATAATAATAATAATAATAATAATAATAATAATAATAATGATAATAATAATAATAATAATAATAATAATAATGATAATAATAATAATAATAATAATAATAATAATAATAATAATAATGACAACAATCATAGTTTTAATAATAATAATAATAATAATAATAATAATATTAATAATAATTGCAATAATAACAATAATAATAATAATAATAATAATAATAATAATAATAATAATGATAATAATAATAATACTAATAATAATGACAACAATGATAGTATTAATAATAATAATAAGTATAATTAAAATCTAATAAAATAACTGAGAATCTGAGATTTACAAAATGTTTCGAAATAGAGCAACATCTCTGTTTAACGCATTTCCAGATATTTACTTTATTACAAAATTCTAATTTTTGTAGAAATCAAATCTAGCCCGCATTTGTATTTGAAAATATATACGGCTTTTAATACTTTCAGTGCAATGGGCAATTGTAAAGAATAAGTTCAATTGTTTAAATAATATTTTAAGAATATTAAAAAAAATATCTGTTTAAAAAGTAGATACGTTAATACTAAGATAATTTAAATACAAATAATAAAGTAAATATTATATATATAAGCAGCTCAGTTATAAGAAGAAACTAAAGAACTTTAAGGTCAAGCTGCTTAAATATAAAGAGATACAAAGTATATTATAAAAGTCGCATTATTTCCATTTATTTTAACTAAAAAACTACAAGGTTTTGTGTTTTTAAAGGCGCAAAAGGAACTCATATTTTGATGTGTTTGACACATCAAAGGCATTTTCAAGGCTCTGCAAAAATGCAAAATTAGAAGTGCTCTAGTAATTCGTAAAAGGGTGAGTCCTTCAGTTTTATAATCCTAAAAAAGGACCTGTAGTTGGCATTGCTCGGTTCAACTTTGACCATTTTAATTGCGCTTAGTTAGCGACAAATGCAACACAAACAACCGCAGCGAGCGGCACTTGCCGCAACATGCAACAAAATATCAAAAAAGGGAAAATTGCAAAAATAAAAAAAAATAAAAAAAAGAAATATTTTTAATTAGAGCCCGCAAAGAAAAGCTATACGCATATGTATGTGATATCAGGCCTTGCAATTAACTTTGGCAGTGCATCAGAGTGGCAAGTGGGCGTGCTACTATCTTGAGGGAAGGCGGGGCGGGGCGGGGCTGGGCTGAGCTGAAGTTGGGCGCCAACGCTTTCACTTGGCGAAAGATCAAAGGAATGCAGCTAGCAAGCATATGCAAACAATGGCCGCTTCATAGAGAGCTCCAAACTGCAAGCTGGAAGCTACTTCAGCTGCATAAAAAACAAGCGAGCGCTTAAAATGCAACTGCAACAACTGCAACAACAACAACAACAGCCACAACAATAACAAATGGCAGCAAGCGCTCAACAAACGCGGCTCAACTTTAGATGAAGGCATAAACTGCTAGAGAGGGGCTTAAAGACCAAGAGAGGGAGAGAGAGAGAGAGAGAGAGAGAGAGAAAGGAGCATAAGTGAATGAAAAATTTTCATGAATGGAATCCAACTGGCAGATAAAAGCCCCAGTGGAAACCCATAAATACAGGTAGTCGCATTTTGAATGGCTAGGTAAACGATGCCAAGTTGAACGTGAGGCAAGAGGGGGGGGGGGGGGGGGGGGGTGTGTGCATGGTTGCGAAGCCTAAGTGAATTGCCGTTTGCCACAGGACCACAGACAACATGACAATGCCAAACACAACTCGAATCCCCGACTCGACTCGGCTCGAATCCTCGACTCAACTGCTCGACTTCTAGTGGAGCCTCATGCCCGGGACTCTATTGCATTGTTTAGTTGCAAAAGTCCCTGGCAAAAAGCCTTTGATTTATGGCATGTGCGTTTTAATTTTGATTGTATTTGCCATGCGAGACAGTTCTCTCTGTGTGTGTGTGTGTGTTTCGCAGGTACAGTAACAGCATTAATTGGTCAGCAATCAACGAAAAAGTAGTTGCATACTTTTGCGATGACTCTGCGAAAGAAAGAGACAGAGGAAGTGCTTGAGGCGGCTAAAGAGAGATGGGGAGAGCTCGTGAAAGACAGAAGGAGCTGAGAGCATTCTCATACGTATTTTATCTGTTTTTTAATTTATTTAAATTTTATTAAGAAAACAGTTCCGCCAACTATAACTGCCAGCTTAAGCTAGTTATATGAAAGGGGAGGTTGAAGAGTTTCCGCTATTTAGACCAAAGTTCACAAAATTAGGGCTATGCAGAGAAAATAAAGTTATTTATATCTATTGTTTCCAAGTAATTGTCATGAATTTTAAAATAGAGAATAGTTTTAGGTAGATACTGTGGGTCTCCAATTTGAATGAAGGAAAAATTTGAATGAATGAATAATTTAAGAATCTGAAATATCTCTTTTTTCAAAAGAATCTACCAAAAATCATTTGATAATACAACCTAGAACCAATTTACTTTTCTTTTAAGTCAACATTTGATTGTAAAACTCAACTCTTTTCTCAAGTCAGATAAAGTTAGGGCATCCTGGGGATCTCGAATCCGAATGGAAATATTTCTTTAAGTTATCTTTCAAAACAACTTTTAACTATAAAACCTTATAAAAACCTTTATTTCCGCTTTAGTCAAACCTACTAGTGGCAGTCAGCTCAGGACATTTTTTTATAAGACTTAGCTCTGCAATGAACTCTATTTTTGCTGATGTGAGAGCTAGTTGTGGAATATTGGTCAGCATCGCCCGACGGCACAATGCTCTGTTGCCAGAAATAGAACAGGCTATGTTGCCAGAAGTTTAGCTGGGATAATTCGCTCACTTCAAACGTTTCGAACAGCCAAACACTAAACTAATATACTCTCTTTAGCTCCGAAAGCAGAGTATACAAAGGCGACAAGTCGCAACCGTAAACAACATTTTCCACAAATCTCATGTTAATTTTTGTGGAAAATGCAACACAAGAGCTGCTGCAAGTGCAACACAACATGACGGCCGGAGGGGCTGGTGCCTTGCATAGATATGCACGCGAGGCTATCAGCTAAGGGCGCACACACACGCACACAAACACCCACACACACACACACCTCTTCCTTGCAAGCGCCACAAATTGCGGCAAAGTGCATTTTTCACAAGACAAAACGAGAGCCGAGCGCAGTGGCAAAAGCAACGAGAGATGCAATCTCAAGTGGTTATCTCTTCTGCATATAGAAGAGAGTGTGCGACAGGGGGGAGGAGGAGGGAGAAATGAGAAAGAGGGCGGCAGGTTTAGGGAGCAAATGCAGTCCTCAGCGTCCTGACAAAGTCAACATCAAAGTTCACGCCGACAAAGCGTTGCGAGTAAATGTTTAATGAGCGAAGTGTGTGGGGCGCTAGAGAAGGTGAGGAGGGAGGGGGAGGGGGGGAGTCATCATGTAGTTTAGGGAGAGCGACAAGGGAGCACAGCACAGCTGGAGCAGCTGGATCAGAGCGCACAGCGACGACTCCTTCAAGCCGGGTCGCATGCCAATTAAAACAAAAGCCAAAAAACAAATGCACTTGAAGTGTGGTAGCTGGGAAATGGAAGCCTGGTAGCTGGACGGGCTGCTGGCGCAGCACGTTTCACAGTGTCAAAGGCGAGCCTACCAGGCCAGGCTGCCTATCACGTGAAGTGTTTGGCAACATTGTTGGACTAGCTGCCTACTCCTTACCCGGCCATGTGCGCGCTCTAAGCAACAGTTCGCCTTTGAAGTTTAAAGGATCGGGGTGGGCTACTGTAAATTAGCCACTCTCGAGGCGCAGGGAGCTGAGCGAAAGTGCAGCCGGAGCAAAGGAAGCAGCTGCAGCTACAAAGTCAAAAAGCGACAGCTCTGGGCCACAATATGTTGCAGCTAATCAAATGCAGCAAGCTGCAATGCGAGGGGCAGGAACTCAAGCTCTTCTAATAGGATAAGCCGATTGGCTAATGCATATGGAGAAAGATATAAGAGATTTTTTAGGCACATTAAGGCCATTCAGCTTCAATAAAACTTTATTTTGATTTATTTTGAAACATGTGCAAGCAAAAAGCTTTGTTTTTCGATCCATACAAGACCAATCCTGAGTATGGAAGCTATATGATCTAGTGGGCTGATATTGAAAAGGTTTTGAACATATTTAAGAAACTTAGTGGAACGAGTAAATGTCAAATTGGGTTTAGATTTAGATGTAAAAGTCTGTGCCTTAGTCTATGATTTATAGATTTAAATAATGATTGGCGCGTTTTAAATGAATCTATATATTATATATAGTCCATATATTGTCTCTACTTTGTACTTTGTCGGAACTCGTCTGAATTTCTAAATCCAAAATCTTGAAAAACTGTTTTAAAACATAAACACTTTTTGGTTATAACAATTCGAATAACTCTTCGACTTCATGTCCAGGCGCACAAATTGTATACTTACGTGTAAAAGTGCGTTAAGAACAAATTAAAAAATTGCCGAGTAAGGAAGTTCGAGTCGGAAGTGCCCGACTAGCCAATACTCTAAACGTTCTTCTTACACCAAAACCAAGCTATCTATACACTATTCTAGAAGCTACATCCAAATTTGTCAGATTTGTTAACAGCAGCTTATCAAACTTAAGAGATATGCTCAAAAATACAGAGTTTGATAAATAGATTTTTATCGATTGCTTGAAAGCGGGGAGAGTTATCGATTTTGGAAACAAACTCGTACTGTGCATGGACTGGGAGGAGCTAGATTTCAAATTTCAAGTTTTTAGCTCTTATAGGTTCTGATATCGACGCGTTCATACATGCGGACAGACAGATGGATAGACTGGCAGGCAGACAGACGTATAGAAAGGCAGACAGGCAGACATTCAGAATGATCGGAAGACGGGGACACGAACATGGCTAGATCAACTCGACTATTAATGAATATCTCAATATATATACTTCATGGGGAAATGCCTCCTTCTGCCTGCACAAGACCATTTTATTCTTTATACCCATTTTACCCGCTGAGTACAGGGAAAACTACTTTTCCGTTAACCAACCCACAGAATTGCCAGTGCTCAAAAACTCTGTCATGAATTTTGTTAGGAAACCAAGCAACATGGCAATCGTTGCCTTAAATGCTTTCTAGTTTTCATCTGAAATATAAGTTTTCCATACATCTCATATAAGGCAGTTGCTACAACAACTGAATAATCTCAGTGTATATTCAGCATTCAACAGCACTCATATATTTTAAATACTTCGGAAAAGCAGTTTCCAGAAAAAAAATAAACGAACACACACAGCTGGAGTATTCGTTGACTTAAATTTTTGCCATTTTTCGTCGGTTTGAACGTTAATAACCATTTTTATATTTCCATACCGGAAAAAAGCAAACAAAAAAAAATTTCCAAAAAGCAAAAGCCTTAAATTTTCGGTATATTTAATTTTGTTACAAAACCAACTCGTATCTAAATTGATATTAAAAATCAACAATGGACGGTGAGCTATAACTTCTATATATTGCCCAGCTTAGCTAACCTTTAAACGATTTAAAGATTCGCAAGCTTTTAATCAAAACTCCGATATGGGCGACAAAATCTCGGAGCCAAAATACGAGACCAACGACCAAGCATCGAATTGCTCACGCAATCCCATCACCGGCATGGGCTTGAATGGAGATGGTGTCGGTGGTCTGAAGCCCAAAATAGCCAAGAACCGAGGTGCGTAATTGGAGTCGAAATTTTCTGATTTAACCATTCAACATTTGCAAACCTTCTCAACAGCTGGCAATCCGGTTACAGGCGAGGGCTACAAATCTGGTCACACCGATATGGAAGTGCTCCGAAAAATAAGTCGTCGACCAGGTCCATTTTCCTAAGCAGCTCGATCAATTGGTTTATTTGCCACAAGAAGACGCCCAACATTAGCTCCATGTCGAGTTGCCTTTGTTTAACCACACGACGCTGTTTTCCATTTTAATTATACAATTTTGCAGCTCGATATTGCGACTACTCGGGTTTGTGGTTTATTTCAAGGCTGCTTTTGAACCGAACCTGGTTCAAAGCCGCAATTTCAGTTTACTTTTAGCCATGAGCCAAAGCAGTTGCCCGAAAGAACAGCGGAACCGAAACACTTTTTATAGAAACTTAATAGGAATGACGATATTTTTCAAAAATGCTTTAGCTTCAAAATAAAACAATTTGATGTAGATCCAGCCTCACTCAAAACGCGTTTTAATGATATCAATTTTCTTTTTGGTAAAGATAAGGTTCGTGAACAGAATCTAAGCTAAGTTGGCTGATTAAAAGCATCAGCAAGCCCTGGTTCTTGACTTTGAATGGGGCTTGGGTAAGAGCCGAACCAAATGTGTGAGCCAAAGTCTAAATAAAACGAAGTTCATGAACTGAACCGGCGACAGTAGCATGCAGCCCTGGTTCCCTAACTTTGAGGCTTATACCTTGAATATCTTGATACTAAAATACATATAAATCTAGAAATATGTGAATCAAAGGGAAGTGTGATTGTAACCGAGAACTGAACTGGCGACAGTATTGTATTTGGCTTCCAAGCCTAGTTCTTGACCTTGATTGGAGTTTAGGTAACAACTTTGGTATCAAATTGGAATGTTTTTTTTGTGGATCCAGCCTCAAATTATATTTGAAAAACTTGCCAATGTTTTCAATGCTTCATGCGATTGTTAAATACTCTCTATGTAAAGCAAAATCTGGGTTGAAGGATGTGTAAATTCAGGTTAGTGAACCGAACCGCAGGCTGTTGCGTAATTGGAACCGTGAACTAAACCGGCGTCAGAATTTCTTTTAGCTTTGAGCACTGGTTTTTAGATTTTAAATGGAGTCTGGAGTATGAATAAGGGCTTAACTATATGTAGTCTTTTTTTAAGAATTTAATTCTGGTTATTAATTTATTGTCTAACGCGGCATTTGAACAATTCCCTACCCAGTTTCCTCCCATTTTTTCGCCAGCTTTTAATTACGCCCAGCTGACAGCACAGCTACCCACAACAAGCATTGGAGGAGCTTAGGAACTGGGCGCCCCACGATATGTGACAGCCATTTAATTTGATTTATGGCCAGTGAATAGTCTTGATTAGAACGCGCCCGCCCAAGCATGGGATTACAGAGCGCAGGCCGAGGCGGAGGCGGGGATGTGTGAGCGAAGCGAATTTAACTCAATTTCACATAAATCAAAAAATGTTGCCATCACACCGAAAGGCGCCCAGAAAACACAGCCAGCCGGGAGCCATACCCGAAACCCCTGCGAACACCTTGGCGCTAATCGTATTTCAATTGTTCAAACGAATTGCGAATTGCGAATTGAATGAAGTGCCGAAATTTGAGTGTGGGCTAAGATGTGTGCGAGTGTGTCTATCAATTCCCTTATGTGGGTGTGTGTCTCGGAGTTTACTACTCGCTCTCGCTGTCAATGGGATTACCGAGGCAGCTACAAGTTCATAAAAGTAACGCTCACGATGCCAACAATGAGCGAATTTAGGTGTCAAACGGCAGGTGGCAATGGCAGCAGCCAAAGCCGAAGCGGAAGTGCCCAACGTTTGGCCAGAACTGCGGCGGGAGCTGGGCGAGAGCTGGGCCGGGGCAGGGACTGGAGCTGCGGCTGGGGTCGGGGCTGGGGCTGGGACTAGGTGGCTAGGGGATTTGGGGACTGGGATGCGTCAGAGACAGATGATATCTTAAACACCACACACACACGCACAACCAGTCAGCTACACAATCACACATGACTACACACACACATATATATATAGAGGAAGAGAGAGAGAGAGCACGAATGTTATCAGAAAAGCAAGCGCCCGGGCGCTGTTGTACAATTTTTGACATGGGTCCCCAAGCAAACGCCAAACAAAGGGCCAACACATTTGTGTTGGGGTTTGGGTTTTTTGTCGGGATCTGACAATATAGAGGACAGTGTGTGTGCGTGTGTGTGTGTGTGTGCATTGGCAAACCGCAAGAACATCAACTGATGGCAGATAAATTAAATTTTGCGGTTCTAAATGGGCAATCAATGAGGCGTTCCTCGGCTAGCAAAATGTATTCCTTTCTACCTATCAAATAGTAAAATTTAAAAATTTAACAAACGACAGCCAATAAGTTGTGCCCACACACACACTCACACACAGCCGCGCCCATGCTCCTCTGGAAAGTCACAATTCTCTCAGTTTTCCTTTGAAATTTTCGCTGCATTTTCACTTTGTCAAGTTGCGACTGTGGCAAGTTCAAAGGCAACGCCAGAAACGCCCCGCGTAGACAAAGGCGTTAGTCGCTAGTCAGTTGCCAGCCTCAGGTTTTCAAGCTCCCAGCAGAGACTTGGTCTAAACTCTTTCCAGCTGTTGCCAGAACAGAAACAAGTAAAAGTATTATCTGTCGCGAGTGCCCGACTCGGAGATACTGCTACTCTTCCCCAAGCCCCAAAAAAGGGGGAATGTGTTCTGGAAGAACTTTGATAGTCAGATATATATGAAATTTGATGGGCTTAAACAGCACGCAAAGGCATGTGTATACCAAAGACTGTATCTATATCTATATCTATATACAATTTTTCGGAAAGATATCCTGGTCATGCGCGAACCTCCATAACATGTTTTATGAATTTAGCTCTTATGATATTCGGCTCATGCTTAAAAATACAAGACTCAAAATCGATATTTATCGATGCTATAAAAATATCGAAAAATATCGCTAATATATCGTATATCATTCAAGTTCCATCTCTAGCTCTTTTGGTTTCCGAGAGCTATATGTTTACAAATGCGGACAAATTCGAGTTTCTGTGCGTTACATACCTATGTACAAAACGCATATACCCTTTTTACACAGTTTCACTGGGCTTAGGGTAGAAAAAAGTTGTTAGCGAAACTTTTGCTCGCCCTCAAATATTGACTTAAGCAGCGCGCCACTCGATGACTCAAGCACCTCAATTGTAAGGGGTCCAGGTCTGGTCCTTCGACTGAGGTGTTGCGGGTGTGAGTGCGTGTACAGTTGACACCTTGATGCCCTGAAGTGTCTACTAGGTGTGTGTGTGTGTGTGTGTGCCTGCTTATTGGTATTTATTTGGATGCCTGCACGCCTAATCAAACAGACATCTCTGATACTTGACAATAGGAAATGAGAAGCACTTGCCACATACACGTAATTTTCTATTCAATAGACTGAAACGAACAGCTTGCCCTTAAGGTCTAGGCTTTAACGGATAAGGTTATGATATGAAATATCTCTCTCCCAAACTATATACATACATGTGCTTGATCAGTCATCCCATCTGCCCAACTGTCTTTTTTTACGCCAACTTATCCCTCAGTTTATCTGCTCTGCTTTTCAATTGGAGGCCGTATATATGTCAGAGCTAGCCGGATCGAGCTACTATATCTATTAGACGGAAAGACCAAAGGTTCAGAAAGATAGAAACAGACGCTCAGGTTTGGAAGTGTCTCCTATGCGTTGCACTTTTATGATAATATTGTCATGAAGTGGAAGGTGAAAGGGTATACAAAAACAATTTCAGTATAAAAACATATTTTTAAATATAGCTTTTAGCACATAATTAGCTTGGTCTAGTGGCTAGACAAAGTGTTCGACCCGTTTTTATGAGTGGGTCAATAGAACTTGAATAATTATTTGCAATTGGCCGATTGAAGGGTCTCTTCAAACCAATCTCAGTCAGGTTTATGCCATTTCAATGGACAAGATATTTATTAATTAACCATTATCGACGACTGGTCGCCGCACTGAATGCTGGGCATTGATGATAAATGGATGTCTGAAGTGCAATTTGCATGCGAGTTTTAAAATCAGCAGCAGTCGCCCCATTGAGGCTGGCGAGACAAAAAAAAAAGCACATGGAGCAGGTCCGGCGGAGGAGCAGGAGCCGACGCTGATGAGCATCATTATGGTAAGTGCGGAGCGCTGTACATGACATGGATGGATGTCCAATGGGGTTGACAATTATGTCAGCCGATGGCAGCATTATTGCCTGCTGGCTGTCCGGGATTAACGCCATTTTAATTGAATTTTAATATTTCACACACGACTCGAAAAGCCGGAAATGTGGCGAGCTGCCTGCCTGCCTGCCTGCCGGCGGCGGGGCTTTGAATTTGCACAAAAACCGCAAGTAAACGGGCTGCCCACGACTATCGAGTGGTCGCCCAGTGGAGCGGGCCGCCAATGAAATAGCCATTATGAAAATCTGTCAACTGGCATAATGGGCCACAGCCGTGCATTAAATTCACAATTGGCTGGCTTTCGGCTTTAAGGGCAATTCAAAAATAGGACAATTGTTGTTCAAGTCCATATTAAACAATTGCGTTCGCACGCAATCGAACGTACAATAACTATCGATATTCGATATTCGATAGGCAGCGTGTCGTGCTGAAGCTAGCCAGTGTTGCACAACGCAAGCTTGTGGCACAGCTTTTCGAAAATCGCAGTGCTGTAATAAATAATTGAATAAAACTTATCAAAATGTAAGTTAATCCAATGTAAAACTGGCTAAACCAGCTCTGATCCCAATCAAAAATGTTTACAGAAAACCACAACAAGCGCAGAATGTCGAATTACAATCCAGATCTAAAGCAACACCGACTCACAACCGACCAGCGCATCCATATGCTGGAGCTGGAAATTGAGAAACTGGCGAGAGATGTTCAAGCCTACAAGGAGCAGAACAGGAAAACGGCCGGCCACAGGGATATTATGCTTATTGCCGATTCGGAGGATGAGATAATTGACATTGGTGACGAACTGACAGATTTTCAAAATGTCGAGCAAGCGGAGTTTGTAAAGCGATTGCTTTGCCCCGAAAGTTTTCCCGATCATTTTGTCTGAGCTCGAAACAAGCAGCAGACTTGAGCTTGAATCAATTTGATTGGGGAACTTTTGGTTTAAATAAGTACAAAATGATATATGGATATGCAGCTGTAGATTGCTTCGAAAATCACACAATGTATATACACAAAACTCTTGGAACTAGTTTCATTCGAGCACTCCATCAACTGGTCCGACATGTGCGCTATAGCGTAGACAAGGACCTGATCAAATATGTCGGCTCCAGCAAACAATTTCCTCGCACACAGACAATGCCAGCGACGAGTGCGAATGTCCAAATATTAAATGACCATTGTGACAATCAACGACAACTGACTATAAAACTGTCAACTATTGAATGACCTCTGACTCTCTACGTGTTGGGGAGGAGGAGGAATGGAATGGGGGGGGGGGGGGGGGGGGGGGGGAGCGGGGGGCGTGACAGAACTGTCTGCAATCAGAACGAGCGAACGCAGTTGGCAATTTCTTCTTCGCCTGCTTGTTACATGCAAATTTAAACGAGTTTCAATCACCAGCGGCCATTGTCTCTCTCTCTCTCGCCTCTCTTCTCTCTCTCTGTCTCTGCTGGCAGTCGAACAGTGCGTATGAGCTATGAAAAAGTAATTAAATTTAGGGGCTGCAACTGGGCAACTGGCTAGTTGGAGCCGACCAGCCAATGCCCTCCCACCCAGAAAAAAGTGTCATTATTAACGCATTGAACGCGCACTCCAAACAAGCTGACAGCTGGGCCCAAACCAAGTCTGGGGCCTTCGTTGGGACTGGTCGCTGCCGTGTTGACACTTGGCGCAGACCAAATGACATTTATTGAAATTTCATCATTAGCTGGCGGGTTAGTTCCTCAACGAACAGAAAAAAAAAGTGTTTGTCAACTTTGCTGCACGTCAAATTTATTTAAATCGATGCCTGCGACACGTGTGTCTGTGCTAGGGGGCGGGGTTTGGGTTATCAAAAACAGAGACCGTTGACAACCCTTGCCTGAGCTGGGAAATCAGTTTGGCATTAACAACAAAATTCAGTGAACAGAAAAATATCCCCGAGGATACAACAACAAATAGCGTTCAGTTTTCTTCTTTTTCGATTTTTGCATAATTTCACAAAACTTCGAAGACAGTTTGGAACAAAATATGAAGATGCAAGAAGACACAAATCAACCCCAAATCGCAGCATCAAGATACACACGCACACACACATGTATGAACCATAATGTGAATATAATATGCTGCAGAAGATGGAAGATTAGCATAGAAAGAGGACTTGAACCCTAAAACAAAATGTAATCTATAATTTTAAAAGATAAATACAATATTTATATCGGAGGTAGCGTCTATCTTCGGCCCGCTGAAGTTTAAATACCCTTGCATACGGCTTCAAAGTGCTTTTATAGAAAAGCTTTATATACAACCGATTTTTGCTATGGGAAAAATATGATATAGTAGGTCGACTTTATGTTGGAAGTATGACTTTTTGTTGGAGCGAGCTTAGTTAGCATAATGTTCGTAATTGCAGAGTTTGGTCAATATATCTTAACTATTCTTCATAGATTCTTCTTATAGCGATATATATATGTATGATACAGTAATTATATGCTGTACAGATTTTGCTAATGTTCTTTGACTTTATTCTTGGATTGCTTATAATTACTGGGCTTTATCTAATTGTTATGGGTTCTGACACATATATAAGATAATTCCGATTTCGCCTAGATACTAGGAGCACATTGAATCAAGATACTTTGAAAAACAAGTTGTAAATACTATAACTTAATTATGGAACAAACATACACCTGACAGCCATATGATATTGTGGTTCGATCCGGACTACTTCGACACATGTGCTGTCTGCTGAGACTCTTTCAGTTTCCTTAGAAACAGACAGACTAACGGACGTATACGGCTATATCGACATGAATATAAGGCAAGACTATAAATAAGTGTTGCACAACATGCTTTTATTTCTTATACCCTTCTATATACCCTTATATATCTAGACTAAACCCTTCTATATAAACTATAAAGGGTCGTAATATCTTAAAGTGGACACATTTCAAGAAAACATAATATCTCTTTTAGAGCAGTTAAAAATGACATTATGCAACACTAATTTATAGAGTTGCCTTATTTTCTCAGACAAAATTGCTTTTCTTACACAAGTCTAGCTTTATCTGATACGTAGAAAATAAGTGAGCCAGTAGAAAAGAAAACAATAATAAGAGAATAACAAGCTTTTCCCTCATTATTTTCTTGCTATCGATCCCACCCCAAATGCCATAACCCCCCTCCTCCTGCATATCAAACAGTTGCCTGTTCCGGCCCGCCCACCCTTCCATCAACTTCCCCAGCAGCAGCAGTAGCAGCATTGCCACGCCCCTTCCAACAGATTCCTGGTGTGTTTCTGGTTTGCCTGTGGCAACATTTTCGGGCTACGGCTTAGGGCCGACTTCAGCTCTAATCAAAAATGCAATGTTTGGCTTGGTTAAGCGGAAATCAGTAGATTGCGTCGCACACTCGTCGCTTGTTGATATTAACACTTCCCCCGCCCCCCCCGCGTCAACGTCCATCCTCTCCAGCGCCCTTCCACGGCAATTGTGGAACAGAGGTTAATGAAACGTCACAGTTGATGACGACGTTGGGCTAAGATTTCAATGATATGTCAAAACTGAGTGATGCCGTTGATGGATGGAAGCGGCTACCATGGTTGCCAGCCTTTGGCTGCCGCACACCCAGCCCGCAGCCCGGCGCCCCCCTTCTCATATATCAGAGACGCCGCAACGCATAAATTTAGAGAAATTTTTGCGACTTGGGCGTCGCATTTACATGGGATTCGCCAGGCTGAGGGTGTCCGCCGGACAATTGTAGCCGGGGCCTGGTGTTTGGAATTTGAGTAGCAGTTGGAGGTAGGAATGGACCACAACAAATAAGTGAAGCAACATCCGCATGGCGGCAATTTCCGTTTATTCCAAACATCAAATGCAATTTTCATAAGGTAAATAACATAATCAGCATGGCACCGAATCGGGCGTAGGGGCTGATTTTTACTTTACACCTGTCCTAAAACCGCCCCCGACCCGCCCCTGACCCGCCGCCTCATGCTCGACTAACCGCAACGAAAATGTTTCAATTTGCGTTAGCAAACGTAATTTTTGCCATATTGAAATTTGATTTGCGACAAGTTGGCAAAGTGCAGCACATTGACATTCCCGTCGACTGTTTGGCAAGAGACTCGCGCAATTGAATTTGCGCCTGGCAGCTGCAATTTCAAAATTTCAAAATGATGATGTGGCAGCCAAACAGGGAGAGGGGTTGTGCCACAATATATACATAATTTTTAATGGCATTTATCAAGTTTACAGAGGCAGCTGGGGCGAAAGTGATTTTATTTTCGGCAGCAACATGACGAGGCTTCACATTAAATTATCATCCAAATGGCACCAAATTAACGGAAAATCATTCGTGCGACAGCCTTTTTCAGTGTTGGTAAGCGAATTATGAATCTCGAAAAGCTAAATCGCGTTTGAATCGAACATCCAATATTATATTTAGCCTGAACAGAAGCTTATATCGAATTAGGAAAGAACAAAATCTTAATAAACAAAAACAAGTAAATAAAATTTCAAATTAAAAAATATTTGAAGAAGCACGACTCAAGCCTAAATGTGGCAAAGCAGGTTCACGAATCGAATCTTAATACAAGACATTGTTGCGAACCGGTTTGCAACCCTGAAGCATGTGCAAAATGACCCATAAAAAGATGACAATTTTTTAATTCATTGCACTTTCCGCATGTGCCACTCCTCATATTAACGCTTCAGTAAGGGCAGAGGACAAGAAATGGGGCCAGGGAAAACGTGTGCAAGTTTGCAAAAGGCAAAAAGCAAAAGCTTACTTAAAAGTAAACGCTTTTGCCTAGCAAAAGTGAAACAGAACTTAAACAAATACGACGCGCAGGCAACCAACTTACATCTGCTGATAAAGAAAAGCCGAGTGTGTTCAGGTGCATGTGTGTGTGAGTGTGTGTGTGTTGCCCCCCAGACGTGGCGACGCCTTTTAATGAAAGATGACAACAACCACATGCCTGATAAAGGGTTGTCATTAAAATTGCAACAGTTACCGCAGCCGCTTCATTAGAGACTGCAAATGCGGCTGCGACTGCGTTTTGGGGCTAAAGTAGGTTGCCGTTTGGCAAATATGCCTCAAATGAATGTTTATACAAATTATAAAGGCCTAGCCAAAAGGCAAGGCATTGAATCAAGATGAAAGTAGAATTTCAAATTGATTAAAGTGCTTGAGTTTTTACGTTTAGCACGACACGATAATAATCTCTACGCCAATATTGCTCGACTGCGCCCAAAATTTGAAATGGGCGCCGCCGCTAGTGCTGCCAGATGGCAAAAAAAAGAACAGCTTGGCGCCAGTGTTGTTTAACAAAGTAAGCTATATAACGGACATGTGCCGCTAGTGTATAGCAGATGTTAAAGACAACAGTATAACAAATGTTAATGCTCTGTAAATGTTATGGCTGGATTTTGTACTGGGAGAAACGCAATAGCTGGGGTTTTCTTGAAAATGTGAATAAATGAAAATTAAATGTGTTGCTCTAAATAATTAACACATTTCATATATCATTTTAACACATATATTTAATTCAATAAGGCAAAGCCGTTACCTAGAACAGCCGCTTCGATGGCTCCGCATCCGGCTCGCCGTCCCCATCTACCGGACGTGTCAGCTCAATGGAGTTGATGCGGATCATGGTGTTGGGCGAGCGCTGGAAGTTAATGCGCATGTATTGTTTCCTGCGCTTCTTTTTGAAATGTGTTTTTGTGTGCGTCAGCGTCTTCTCGATAATCGTCGCCTTTACCGCGACCAGACCCGGCTCCAGTATGGGTCGGCCAATAAGCGTAAAATCGCGGGCTCCCGCCAGCAGCACTTTGTCCAGGCTAATCTCATCGCCTATCGTGGGCGGCCAGTAGCCCTCGACGAGGATTATGTCGCCGGCAGTTATCTTAAATTGCTTGCCACACAAATGGACTACGGCAAATAGCCGGCCCTGCTCCGCTCTGGCCACCTGCTGATTGATTCTCTCGCATACTGTTTGGCATTCCCGCTGATGCTCCTTGGCAATGGCTGACACATCGATTGAAGCTGGCGCGGGTTTGTTTTGCTGCTGCAATGTTGGGCCTAGGCTCAGCGCGCGCAGTGCACCTGCCGTGGGCGGGGGGAAGACGGGAACGTTATGTCACTGCGCCCAGAACTGGCTGTTTACAAGCTTACCGCTTAATGTGGCACGCTGTGCTGTATGGCGCAACGCTTGGCGCACGCTTTGTGCTAGCAGTGACATCTTTTTGCCGCTTTTCAGACTACAAATTCCAAAAGAATTGCAATTACCAAAGTTTCATGCGAGAGAAGTGTGCCGAATGGAAACGATAACAAAATAAGCGGCACCGCAACCTCTTTATGTTATCGACAGTGTTGCATAGCTTGAAAGCGTTAACACTTAACAGCACTGCGAGCCATGTGCAAACGCTCAAGAGCTCGCTGCTATGGATATGTTATCGGCACAGTCGAAGCCTGCGTCGCTACGCACTTCATGTTTTCAAACTGAAGCGGAAATTTGTTGCTGTCAACGAATTCGACAAAGTTAAAAAAAACGCCTATGGAGAGTAAAATGTTTCGCGATCCGGCACTGGAACGCCATTTCACCGGACACACTGGCAACATAACGCAGCTGCGCTTCAGCCCGGATGGCCACCAGATCGCGACAAGCGCCATGGACGCCACGGTTATACTGTGGAATCTCAAGCAGGCGGCGCGTTGTATTCGCTTTGCCTCGCATTCGGCGGCCGTTTACGGCGTCAGCTGGTCGCCCAAGGGCAATTTCATAGCCTCGTGCAGCCAGGATCGCACTGTCAAGATCTGGGAGCCAAAGGTGCGCGGCGTCTCCGGCGAGTTTCTGGCCCACAGCAAGCCCGTGCGCAGCGTCGACTTCGACCCGACCGGACAGCTGCTGCTGACCGCCTCGGACGACAAGGCGGTGAAGCTGTGGCGCGTGTCGCGGCGCCAGTTCATCTCGTCCTTTGCCCAGCAGAACAATTGGGTGCGTGCCGCCAAGTTCAGTCCGAACGGCAAGCTGATAGCCAGCGTCAGCGACGACAAGTCGCTGCGCATCTACGAGGTGAGCACCGGGGAGTGTGTGCGCACCTTCACCGAGGAGCGTGCCGCACCGCGTCAGGTCGCCTGGCATCCGTGGGGCAACATGGTGGCCGTTGCCCTGAGCTGCAATCGCATCAAGGTCTTCGATGTGGTCAACAGCCAGCTGCTGCAGATGTACGTGGTGCATTCGGCGCCCGTCAACGATCTGGCCTTCCATCCGAGCGGCAACTTTCTGCTGTCCGGCAGCGATGATAAGACCATACGCATTCTGGACCTGCTCGAGGGCCGACCCATATACACGCTGACTGGCCACACGGATGCGGTGAATGCGGTTGCCTTCACCCAGGACGGCAACAAGTTTGCCACCGCGGGCAGCGATCGCCAGGTGAGAGTGCATTTCCCTATTAATCCAACAATGCTTAACCAAGTTTCTTAATCTTGACAGCTGCTCATCTGGGAATCCAATTTGCACACCTACGATGCCTCACAGTTTGAGGAGAAATCCCTTTCCACGTCCTGCTGCGACACCAGCTCCAGCTCAAAAATAAGCCTCGGCGCCAACTCCAAAGCATCGAATGATCTCAGCATTCGCATCGATCCGCGTGAATCTCTGGCCTATCGGGCACTGGACGAGCACTTCCAGGTGGTTGATAGCCAACACTCCAAACATCAGACACCGCTGGGCAACAGCAATTGTGCCACCAAGTTGTCAGGCCCCAAACTTTCGGGTCGCAGTGAACCCAAGCTGTCCCTGGAGCTAAAGAGCAACTATACCACCCCGTTTTTCAACTAGTCTGACCCAAACACACACACACACACTCGCACACACACAGCTGCCTCATCCCACTGCCAGCCCAGAGCATAACGAGCACACCTTCCGCAGGTATTGGATGTGTCGCTGGAGTCGGATTCGGGCTCGGATTGCTGCAGCTGTGCCGCTCAGCTTGACGAGATTTTCAAACTTTTGACGCAGCTGGACAAACGTTTAAGTCGATTAGAAAGCTTGCACTTTGACTAAAACTATACCTTATGCATAATTCATTTATTCCTAAAGATAAGTTAATTATATGAATATTTTTGGTAAACGATGTTTCGCCATATTTAAACCGGAGAGAAAAACACTTTTCCACATCTGCCTAAAATGCCATCGGTTAACTTAGAACATTCCATTTATAGTTTTTTTTTTTCAAGAATTTACCGACTTGAAAGAGAATTCTTCATATTATCTAATCTCTGTTTTAAATTTGGAAGCAGTCTTGGACAAAGTGTAACTATATTATATAAATGCCATGGAAAATTTTAAAAACTAGCATTATATATCAAGCTATTTCCTGGTCTGACTTGCCTTAAAATATATTCCTACATAGATATAAAAATAAGTATATAAATTTTGACTTACCCAAAAATTTCACAAATTTCCATTTTCATATGTATAAGGAAAGGCCCGATTTATATATATATATATATATATATTTATACACATCTCTGAAAACAAAAAAGATAGTAGAATGGATTACTACATGTATAACTATATATATACATGCATGCATACCTATATGATTCTGGGTCAATCAACCGCCAGCAGCACTTTGTCCAGGCTAATCTTATCGCCTATCTTGGGCCAGCTCTCGACGAGGATTATGTCTCCGGGAGTTACCTTAAATTTCAGGCCACACAAATGGACTACGGCAAATAGCCGGCCCTGCTCCGCCTTGGCCACCTGCTGATGCTCCTTGGGGTGGGGGAAGACACAAATGTTAGGTCACTGCGCCCAGAACTAGCTGTTTACAAATCCCTCTCATCGCAAATCATATGCGCATATGTATGTACCTACATATATGCATGTTAATATATACAGACTCATATATACAGTCATGCATGCATACATACATGCCTATACACACATACATACTTACACGCATATGAATGTAAATATCTGCATACATGACCAATACATATATATGTACGTACACCATAAAGTATATTTAATAACCAACTACATACTCAAACACTTGCATATATACATGCGTTATATATATACATGTATCTATACATGTGTATATTTACATGCACAAATATCACGAGTAATGCAAAGCAAAAAAAAAATGCACAAAGGCCAAAAACAACTCAAAATTGTTTTTCGGTTTTCGTTTCTTCTTTCTTTTGCTCATTTCTAACGGTACTCAGAAGAGTTGCTTTGCTCTTTATGCTAATGCGCCATTCTCATTGTCGCACACTGTCATACATACTCATAAAAGGATGTAGAGTAGTTGTGTGTGAAGTGAAGTGGCAGATAGACGCGTCGGCGGCGTCAAATTTGGTTTAATTAATAATTACAAGTGCAAAAATCTATATTTTTTTATGTGTGCAATATAAAGTGTACTTACCCAAAGAAGGAAGTTAAGTTAAGCAAAATAAATAATGTGGATAACACATTAAATAGCTAATTTTATGGCAGCTGCTGAATGAAGCGCCAAATTTGTGAAAAACGCGCGAAATAAAAGAGTTCGATTAACCGGTTCGTGTCTGTACATTAACATTACATCTGTAAGTCGTTAACATAAACGGGTCGTAAGATCGTAAATAAGCTCTGTTAAAAGCGCAGTGTGCGGTAAATTGGCGCGCTACTATTGAAATTTCAAACACAAACAAAATTCAAAATAGGATTTAGTAAGCGGTTAGTGCAATTTTTAAAATAGAGCCTTGTTACTAATTGTATATAAATAATTGTATATAAAATTACTTGCTATATTTTATTATTTTATATAATTGTATTTTATTTTATTGTACAAAAATGTACATCATATTTTTTCACGCTGTCCGTTCGGCTTAAACTGTTGCAAAAACATATTTAAGCTCTAAGCTCTAATTAATTATCATATTTGGCATCAGAAGTCATATAATTGTTACCAATTTGACTGTCAAGTGGTTGAACTCTGAGCAGTTCATTCAACTTCCAAGACTCTACTCTAATGATCCTGCCGAGGCAGTTCAATGCCTCTGCAAATAACTTGTCGCTATGTTTATCAGGTAGTTATGCGCTTGATATATTGGCACAAAAGGCAGTAGTTGAGAGCCCCGAAACCGAAACCGAAACCGAACCCAAAACTAACGCTTCAAATACACTTAAGCCTATAAACACAATTCGGGACTTGTTGAACAAAGAAGCAAATTTGCACTGCGAATGCAACTGCAACAAAAGCAATAAGCAAGCAGGCAAACAATTAACAAGCCCACAAAGGGACTCTTGAGAAATTAGTGTGACATGCGGACAATTTCCACCTGTAGAGTTCGCTGCCTCGGGTTTCACTGTAACTGTAGTTTGACCAAAAATGCAGTTATAGGGTGCTGAACCGTCAACCCTTTGGCCGGAGCAGCGCAGCGCATAGAAAAGGTCATTGTCATCAGCGAAAGGTTCAACAAACTGCTTTTTGCAAACAAAAAAAACCTCTTGCATTTTCAAATAAATAAACTAATGTGCCAAAGGACTCCAAGAACCGCAAGCTGACCGAAAACGCTTAACAAACTGCGCAGAACGTAAGCGAACCCAGCATACTCTACATTTCGCTGGCAGCACAAATGCAGATCGGCTTGTTCAAATGCGACTGCAAGTCGGCAATGCCCATTGTAGGAGGCAGCCAAAATGGCAGCAGCAGCAGCAGCAGGAGTTGAGGTCCTGCGCTGGCATGTGCCACAAACGAGCCGCAATAAGCGGTACCTTAGGCCCGAGGACCCTCTTTTGCTAAACTAAGCTTTTGCTTTTGCTTCTGCCGCTGCTCCGGTTGCTCTGCGTTGGCTCGTGTCATCTGTTGAATTATAAAATATGGCAAGGAATTAATTTGGCCAGCGAACGAACACAGTCGAATCTGGCACAGCAGCAGCAGCGCTCTTGGGATAACGCCTTACGGCAACAAGGACCCCTGCATTGGATCCTGCCATCTACAAACTACCAACTACCATCTACCATCGGGCCATCGGGCCATCTACCGCTATGCTCTGTTCTCTCGGCTTATCTCGGCGCGCATGCGTTGCGCACCTGTCGCTGCTCGATCTGCTGCAGACAAAATGAAAAGGTGCGCTTAAATTCTTATAATGACTCTGACAGAGGCCGAGTCTGAGTCCGACTCGGAGTCAGAGTGCTCGTTGTGCGTGTGTGCCTGTGTGTGTGTGTTGCATCTTCTGCGGCAATTTGTTGTCCTTTTGTGCCGCCGTCTGTTGCCTCCAAATCTGTCTATAATCTGTGTTTAGGCCATGCACATTGATTTCTGCTCAAGAAAAAC